TGATATATTTTAAGTAAACTGAACTGTTTCATTGTTTTAAGTTTTATGAAATTATTTATTTTAATTTACACAAACTTAAGTTTAACTGAAATGGCTGGGATACTATTTCCCAGCATGCTTTGCTGATGGCACTCGAAAGAGAGTGTAAATGCTAAAATTAAGTGCAATACAATGTTTTTTTTTTTGTGTGTAAGATTAGTGTGAGATTTAGTAGTGATTAATGTTTTGATATGCTAATTTAGAAGAATTTCTGTTAATGTTGACTTTAGGATAGTAACCATCATGGTGACAAGTGGTGCATTCTTGATTTGAGAGCAAATTATCCCTTTATATTATTACGCTCATACAGCAAGTGCTTCTGTGCTTCTTTCCCTAGCCGTCACAGAAAACTTTCTGAATTTTTATGTTTTCTAAAAACATCTGAATATGCCTTATTCACGGCAGCGCCATCTTTGATTTTTAATGAGAATGAAAGCGAGGCTGTGAGGGATAAACTTGCATCTCTTCAATGGGCTGTACTGTTATTTAATGTGTTTTCGAATTGTTCTGCTCTTGAAACACTGGAAAAATATCTTTCCAAGAAATGTCAGTTGACAAAAAACTCCCGACAATGTAAGCTGTGGAAAATTGTAAGTAATCTAGCCGCTTTATTCAGCTATTTACAGTGGATGCCATTGGAAACACGGTAAGTCTATCCCTCACAGCCTCACTTTCATACCTGTCATGGCGCTGCTCTGAATAAGGTCTATGCCAAGGTCTTTGGAATGTAATCAGTGGCGGCTCCTGCAAAATCTCTCAGGAGGGGCAAATATTTGGATGATTGATAAGGACAAGGCCCACCCATGCAATGGATAAATTAAAAGCTTAAGCATGTAAAGTCAACTTCACTTTAATATTAATGACTAATAAAGTGACTTAATAACAATAAATCTTCTTGTTTCTATACTCACTATTATTACACTTATTACATCACATTAAAGAGATTCGGCACACAAATTAAGATATTTTTGATTATATATAAGAGCTGGATCACTCCTCCATACACAGCAAATTCTGTTTTTTGGAATAAACTCCGTTAGTTAAAATCAACTCAATCTGAGTGTACATGTGAGACCATCAAATAGACTCCAGCGCAGAGTTAAAATAACTCTGCTCTTGGAGTTGAATTTAACACTTTTTCGGAGTTAAAATTTATGGAGTTAAAATACTAAACCTACGGAGCGTAAATGTAACTCTAAAAATAATTATATGAACTCATTACCAGTGTTAAAAAGTAACACTCAAAAAAAATATTTAGTTTAACACTTCTTAGAGTTAACATTTATTTAACACAATATAATGTTTTGTGTGGAAATTACTACACTGAACACCATATTCTTGATTTACTGCCTTTATTTCAGCAAATCGATTTGGTTCAGATTTGAGGAGGAGTAACCTTCAACCGGTTGTCTGCAGGACAGTCGTATATGAAGATCACAAAAACAACAGTATGAGGCATAATCTAGCACCATTCATTGAGAATGCAAAAATATATTAGCTGAAAATCACGCACATGTGATCGTGGGTCACCACTAATACGTAGCCTAACGTTATAGCTGTTACAACTCAAATCATTGCAGGCCTACACAGCACAACTATCTTATTTTCCAGGGTAACGTTAGACACTGCAATTGTGTAACCACGTATGCCTGTAATGCATTGATGCATCAACTTCACGGTAAAACACTCATTTTCAGAAACACGGTGAATGGAAAGACGGTTAGCTAATGTTAACTCGTTTACATTGACAAAAACCCCACGCAAATAGCCATTTCAAAATTTGAAACAAGTAAACAAACGTTCAACAGCAAGTTTGTCATAATCGTTGACGTTAGTAAACAGTATAACTAGCCTATATAACGTAGCAGCTACGCGATGACCAAACATGTTTGTCAGAAAATATAGAACATTTTTAAATAGTTTATATACTCTTTTACCTACCTCACGACGAGGCACATAAGTCCATTATTCCTTTATCCAGCGGCAGGGTCGTGTCGAGGCGCATTTCTCAAAAATAACTCCAGGGGCCCGTTTCAATAAGGAGGTTCAACCAACTCTGAGTTAAAGCTTGAACTCAGAGTCGACTTACCCTGAGATGGGAAACTCCGAGTTTTCGGTTACAGAACAGCTGAAATGAGTTAGTTCAATCAACTCTGAGTTGACTGACTTTGAGTTAAGCGCGTGCACCACAGCTTTAAAAAGCCATTATCAATGGAGCGCAGATATTACGAGTCACCATGGCAACAGCGCCAGACAAAAAGAGGTGTTGGGTATAATTAATTACCAAGTAATCTAAATATTGTAATTTAATTAAAGGGATTACTCTTAATTCTTCTTTAATTTAAAATAAAATATGATGCAATTACATTAAATAGGCTACTGCATAAATTATAGACCAATTCAGTATAAAACAATAGTGGATTTAGCATACATTTTTAAAAGGTATATTTTTATATAACCTTCTCCCTCTACACACTTTGATCAATTCAAGAATAATTCATGCAATTGTATATTGTTAATTTGAAAGCATTAAAAGTGCAGTTTCTTGTCTCTCCTCCTTGTATTAATCAAGTAGTTGAGGTTGATATAGGATTTAGTAATATGTAGACCAATACTTTCTAGAGATAGTAATTATTACATTAATCTAACTACACCGTTGAAGATGTCATTTGTTGTTAATAATTCATAACTATTTTAGAGTAACTGTTATAATATCAGAGGTGAAACTGGAAGAATGTTATTCAACCTAAAGTAGTCTTTGATACATTTTTACTTAAGTAAAAGTAAAAATACCAGTCTAAAAAATCTACTCAAGTAAAAAGTAGTTAATTTAAAACATGAGTAAAAGTTGCTGAGTAACTTGTTTAACAGCGGGGGTGGGGTGGGGGACTCCCCCATGTGGGGTTGTAACGTATGAGAGTTTCACAGTATGAGAACCGTCTCAGAAAATATCACGGTTTATGGTATTAAACAATTGTTAAATATATAAACTGCATTATTAAATTACGGTTATTGTTTTCATCAGTTAAAATAAATTAAACATTTGTTCAATAAAACATAAAATCAACTAACTTCAATAATTGATTATGATTATGATTGACATCTTATTTTTTATCGTGAATAACTTATTACATTTTATTAAATTTTTTTCAATGATTTAATAGAAATATATTATCCAAAACAGTGGTAATCAAATAAAACTTTAGCAAATGTTTTAATCCTTTTATTTTTTGGCAAAGTGCTGCAAAACAGATTTAGTCAATTAAACCATGGACAAACAATATATATTCCTTAAAGAATGTGTAAATACATTTTAGTATTGTTGTTGGTGTTTAAACAGCACTTCCTCTTTAAAAAAGGGGAGGAGACCGCAAGAAACTCTGGGTTTACTGAAGAAAACCTGCTCCCGACCAGGTTAGGTTCACAGAGTAAGTTACCATGGTAACTGACTCTGAGTATAAGTTACCTCTCTTTCAGAAACGGGCTTGACTTACTCTGCTTTCTCGGGTTTGATATACCCCCCTTTCTGAAACGGAAAACCCAGAGTTTCCCTCATTTCAGGGTTAACATACTCAGAGTTTTCACTTAACCTCCTTTCTGAAACAGGCCCCAGGTGTAGCTAGTGTTAAACCAAAACACACTCCTGAACACCAATGAATGAACTCCAAAATACAACACAGCCGGGGAGTATCCAATAACACAAAGTGTAGTCAGAGTTAAAAAAAAATAACTCAAAAGTAACTCTTTTTTGCCTAACTCATGATTTTTCAACTCCTGAAATTTGCTGTGTAGGCTTCTAAAGGACTGTGTTCGCCATGGCGTTGTTCAAGTTCAACTGTCTGTAGCCACAACAACTCGCGAGATGTCCCAACAGTCTCTCTCGCTCTCGCTTTTTTTTTTTTTTAATCAATTTGATAAAGATAATTAAGTAGTGTTTCATTTTTTATTGTTGCTGTTTGAATTCAAAATTGTTTTAAAATATTATTTGTCACTTAATATTAAATATTTTTAATAGTGGATGTTTGTTCCCACCAATCGCTGCACAAGTTAAGGATACGTATGATGATGTAAGCACGTTAGTGCGAGCCCTCCCGGAACCCATAGAGAATGCGTTGCAGTGCCTGCAGTTCGAAAAAAAACATCTTTGAATGTAAGTCTATGGGAACACTCTGGGCGATTTTCAGCCAGAGTGAAATCGCCCAAAAAGAGGCGGTACTCCACAGAACGTGACATGACACTGATTGGACTATATAGTGATGGCTAGCGTAACTCTCTGGTTGAATGAGATTGTGAGTGTGATGATTCACACTTTGGTGGTGCGTCGCCCAATCGCCCCAATGAAGAAACCGCCCCTGAATGTAATACAAACACTTCAGTTGTTGCCTTGGTTTAGTGATGATATAGATGTAAATAGTGGCTGCATTATGGAGGATGATCAGATATTTCTTTTAATTTTATTATTAATTTGTGTTTATGTTGCCCAAATAGCACATTTCGCCAGCCACAGAGAAACTGGTAGCCAGGCAACAACAGACAAGTGACCAATTGTGAGTGGCGACATCACTAAATGCATTCTACCAGCAAGTTTCAATACGGGTTGGCCAACCATGCTGTGAATTTTGAGCCAAGAACGGTTTGTAATCGTGCCGAGCTGTAGCAGACTCTAGTGGAAGCATAACTGGAACCATTCCTTAGAACCATCTTAGAACCGTTCGGCTCGACGGTGGAAAAACAGCTGTACACACACATTGGAAATTATATCGGTTTTAAATATCTTCCCACAGACCACCTGTACATTCACAGACCCCAGATGAAAACCCCGGCAACAACAGATTGCAAAATAACAAGAACACACTAAAGGGTAAGACGTGTGGAACTTTGAGAGTGACAGGTGTTTTAATTTCTGTGGAAATCTGCGTATGCAGAATCAAATGTGGATGCCAATCACTCAATATTCGTACCTCTGGGCATTACTGTTTACAGGAATCCTCCAGCCTTTGATCTGATTGAGTTCAGTATCTGAAACTTCAATGTGCAGAGGCAGTTTGGGAATCCAGACCTTCACCTCCAACTGAGCCCTCAGATAACCGTATGTGAAGTTCACCAGCATTCTGACTCGTCCTCTCATCTCTTTGCCATTGACGTAGACGTAATCACACCTGTCTGATACCTGAGAGAAGAAAAAAAGATTATGTCAGTGATGGAGAGGTGAGAAAAGACCAGGGAATTGATCTTTTCAAGACACCTTCACATTAGCAAAATCAATGCAATGCATCTGAGCAAAAGACAAGGCATCCGTGAAATGGATTGACAGTGAAATCTGACAATATTAGAATTTTTTTTTTTTTTTTTTTTTAAACAGACGGCCTTGACTCTCTGCGAAAAGTTAGTGTTCTGGTCTAAGTACCATCTTGACTTATGCTCCCCGACATTTCTGGGCTGTGTCTTTTATCTTGGCTCCCACAATCTCTCAGTCTTTCTCTCACAGTCTTTCTCATCGCTTCCAGTTGTTCTATCCGTTTCTACCTTTGAATGAAAAGATAAAAGTAGTACTGGCTCTCTTACATTTAATATGGCACTACTATAGATGGCCAAGATGAAAACATCACCTGGTTAACTAAGGCGAAAGATTGAAGGTATAACTGCATGTGAGTATATAACAGTGATTAAGTGATTATAAGTGATTACCAAGTGATTATAATGTACAGTAAGTTAGCCAATCAGCAGTGCAGGGGGGCGAATACACTCATGATGGGGGAGGGATAGGGTGACCACCCGTCCCGTTTTGCAAGTTTACTGTACAGCATTTTCACATCGCTCCATGTGTTCCCTGTCAGAAAACAATTGGATAACCGAATTGATCTGTTCGGTGAATTTAACCGAATTGATATGTTGTTGTTTAACCTGTTGTTTAACTTGTTGCCTGCTGTAGTTTTTTTTTAATTCACATCTTTTCTAAAAATATGAAAGTTATTGGTTTTGGTTTTTAAAATATTCTTAATATATAAGACTGTCAATCTAATTTCATGTTGTTTTACATTTTATTTGTTCATTGTTTATTTTTGTTGGATTTTAGTTGGACTTGGTCAGAACTGTTACCAAAATAGTCGTCTGCATGATGCCTGATGGCTTTGGGCTCAGTTATGTTGAATTTAAATGACATGTAAAATAAAGATTTTTTTTTTTCTGGGACTAAAGAACAAAGAATGTTTATCAGCTGCAAGGCAGAATACAAATGTTTTTATTAAGTTAGATAGACATTATATAACAGTTCCAGGGTATGTTTTAATGTTGGTAACATGTCCCACATTGTCCCACACAAGCTTATAATCGTCCCACATTTGGTTTGTTTGATGGTGGTCACCCTAGGGAGGGGAGAGAGTGAGCAAGAGGGAAATTTAAAGGAAGTTAGTCGAAAGAGAGATGGCTGAGAGGCATTTCAAAAGAGAAAAGGTCAGAGGAATGTCATTGAAAAAAGAAAGGTTATGATCAGGCAAGAGCTTTAGAAAAGCTTTCCAGCACTGGAGAGACTTAAGCGGGAAGGCCTGAAAACGGATGTTGAGGTTGTGTTTTTTCGGCTCCATACGAGAGTAAAATTGGGTTTTGCTATGTTTCCAAAAACCAAGAGATGCTGTTGTAATGTTAGTTATAGTAACAGAACAGTTTTAAGTGTAAATGTTTGTCTGGAGCTGGTGCTCTTGCCTTTGAGTGCTCCATGATCATTTTTTGTTCTTCCTTGTTGTGTCATCTTCGCTTTATTTTTCGTGAAGCATTTTGCTTCGCTTCATCTATAATAAGAGACATCCACTCATTGTGTGTTTGTGCATTTTGGGGGCTGGGCAATGAAGGGAGGGGTGTGGCTTTTTGGAATTTCAAATTTCAACAGAAATCGCTTACTGCACTTGAGGCCGCCTGGCGTATGTTTTCAATTGTTTTCAACGGGAGCGCCACGTTTTTTTAAACGCTGTCGGGATGTAGTTTCAACTACAGCCGACTGATGTCAGAATGCCACACTGATTTGTTGTCAGAGGTCTAGTTGAATACCATTACCCTGAGTTGTTGCGTCAATTTGTTTGCCAATAGGCCCAGGAAAGGATGGAATAACTGGAGTACCATGCAGGAAATCGTTGAAGGTGAATTTATTGAGGACAGCTGTCTCAGCACACGTGCTCCAAATCAAGTTCAAAAATAAACAAAAGAAATCATCAAAAAATACTCAAAATAAACATTACAAAACATAAATAAAACATGCTGAAAGCAGCAAAAACATGGCATCAAATCCAGCCTCGAGGGACAAACCTCTGACAATCACGACATCCTACAGCATTGGACTGTACTAGTACTGGCACATGGCCCGTCTCTCCCCGCTCAATTAGCCTCACTTATATATGCTATTTTCCCGCCAAAACTAGTGGGTCATACCAACTGTAGGGGTCGAATAACTCCCCTGACAATGGAAACATTCAATATCAGTGTTCTTGCATATAAATCCAAACAGATACATAATCACAAATAATATCCTTAATCAAAGATCAACAATATGAAAACAATTATAACATTAAACAAAAAGACAATGTAAAGAACAACACTGTGACCGATGTTCACATGGTGATAACCTACAGGTTCATCATCACAAACGCCATGAGCATAACGAGGCGCTGAGAAGTTTTTTCACGAAAAATGTCCAACTTTTGGGTAAAACGCAGCGGTCATCACTGTCACTTTTTGCCCAGCCGTCCAATCACAGTGGAGGAGGGGCGGGACAAGTACCACACCAACCAACTGTCACGACATTCTTTGTGTATACAACGACATCAACCAGCAGAGCTAACCGAACAACAACAATTATTTAGTAGTATGAAACAAATGATCTGCGAAATCAGTTACAAGTAAACTGTGCTGCAGATATTCTGTATCATAGCAACGAAACGTCTCAATGGAAAAAAACAAAAAAAACAAAAACGCTGTGCTGCCAAAACACCCTCAAGCGCCCACAGCTAAGCATTTTTTTTCAGAGCGTCTAGCGTTTTCACCTGGCTAAAAACGCTTTGGTGGACACATGGCCTTAATGAACATCTAAAAAAGTAGAAATATTTACACTATCGTTTTAAAATTTGGGTTGGTGAGATTTTTTGCTTCTCAAAGCTGCATTTGTTTCAGCTTATAAAGAGATATCCACCATTTTGGATGTGTGTTTGTTTGGGTATGCTTAACAATGATTCTCAGAAATCACATACTGCAGCTTTCAGCAAAGAGTTACCAGAAAAAAAAAAGAAACAATCTTACTGACCCCAAAATTCCCCATTGTGACAGAAAAACCAACAATTGTGTGTTAGTGTAAGTTTGCATGAATTGGCAGCATACAGCTTAGCCAGGCACCAAAAGTCACCTTTCCTTTACAGATTGCTGATGAAGAAATAGACACCATTATGGTTAATAATGATGAGTAAATACAACCGCCAGACACATTCACATCCTCTTATGAGGAGTTATGAGGCCAGATTCCAAAACCATCCGTTTCATAAACGTTGGCGGAATTACTTGGCTCAGTGTTTCCCTCTGCTGCGGGTCTCAAATCACTATGACTGGCTCTGTTGGTCTTTGATTCCTCCAACCATGATCTGACAGGGATGGAAACTACAGAAGCAACACACACACACACACACACACACACACACACACACACACACCATCAAAGTGTGGCCAGCAGCAGAAAGATAAAAGCAAGCAAGAGCGCACATGCTCATACACACACGGCCTCGCACATGGCTGCAAACCCAAATTTTGTGCATAACCCTTTCATATTAATAGAGCTCCTAGGTTCTTTTTTATTTGTAAAAAACATTTATGTTCCAATTTTTTCCCTCATAATGAACATTAAGTCTCAGTCTGTCAGGGTTTAAGAACTGCACAATCATTTCATGCTCCCTGTAGAGCAATTAGAAAATCCAGATCTCTTTAAACTAGAAAAAGCTAGAGCCACTTTCAATGTTTACAGTACACTGACTTTTTAAAAAAGCATTAAAGGCACAAATCCAACAATATTCCCATATTAGGGGAGAAAAAAACAGGAATAAACATAGTTTGAAGCCTTCTAAATCTAAATCCATTATCAGAATTTGCTAGTGTTGACTGTATGTATCAACCATTCAACTAACCAACCAATTCATTTAAAATAAGAAAGTTTTGATTTAAACTCTTTAGACGTGTCCTTTTTTTTGTAACAGGATTGAAAACCTCATATAAAATGTATAATATTAACTTTGATCCCATTACAACGCAACACTTTCTGAAAGTTAAGTGCCTCTTTTAACTCAGCATTTGATACAAAGAAACAAGAAGAGACTCATGAATAATGTCACGGAATGTTGCTGAAGAGACTACTAAATAATGTCATTACATGTACTGAAAAATTCAAGACTCCTGTTCCTGGCTCTGGCTTAACATTACACACACACTCACAGAGCTGAGTGAGACATCTAATCCAGTATCAGAACATCATGGTGTGTTGCTTTCAACACTTAGGGGTTGTTAGAGCTGTAAGAGTTTGTTTCATGCTTGTCTGATTGATAGAGTTGTCTGCTGTCAGAGTTTCCTCTTCCTCTGTCTCCATAGCTTTATCTCTGTTCCTTCAACAAAGAGTGTGAACATGCTTAGACTACCTTCTTGGGCTGAAAAAGTTAACCTGTTTCAATGTAACAATTTTTTTTTTGAAAAAGTTGTGATGATCGTTACTGAAGGCCCTGACTGAGACCCCACGGTACGCTACTGCGTATTTCCAACTTATTTTCATCCATAAGCGAAAAAAAAATATAAAAATAAAAAATGTGGCTGTGAGTATGATTTATTTATTTATTTATTTATTGATATGTCTTAGGAATAGGAGCTGAACTTATTAAAACATATATAGTGAAATCATTGTACAATGTTTAAAAAATGTAATGTGACAAAAATATTAAGCAGCATAATAATAATTAGATTAATAATAATAATAATAATAATAATAATAAATTTATCGAGTAGCACATTAGCATTTTACAATGACAATATGTGACAGTAATGGCTGCTGGAAATTCAGCTTTACTCTTACAGGAAAAAATAACATTTTTAAATATATTATAAAAATAAAAAATGTGGCTGTGAGTATGATTTATTTATTTATTT